CCGGAATCCAAACCCTGGGACCCTTTGAGTCCACAAGCTGACGCTCTATATCCAGTGATGGCGAACCTATGACCCGCGCTGTCAGAGAGTGACACTCTGAACTCTTTTTTTTTTTGGTTGATTTTTCTCTTGTGTAAATGGCATTTAAATATATAAAATAAATATCAGAAATATAAGTCTTTGTTTTACTATGGTTGCAAATATAAAAAAATTTCTATATGTGACACAGCACCAAAATTAGGGTTTTTCAAAATGCTGACACGCCGAGCTCAAAAGGTTCGCCATCACTGCTCTATCCACTGAGCCAAACCGGTTTGGGCTCCATTGATTTTTAGACAGAGTGGAAGGGAGGGGGAGAGACAGGGAGAGAGAAACATCGATGTAAGAGAGACACATCAATTGGCTGTGTCTCACATGCTTGGGTGCTAAGGATCGGGGATCAAACCTGCAACCAGGGTACGTGCCCTTGACTGGAATTGAACCCATGACCCTCAGTCCATGGGTCAAATGTTCTGTCCACTGAGCCAAACCGCCTTCGGCTGAATTAAACATTTCTAAAAATTTTATAGTATGTGAATTATGCCTGAATTTATAAAAATTAATTTAAGCCGTAGCCGGTTTGGCTCAGTGGATGGAGTGTCGGCTTGCGGACTGAAAGGTTCCAGGTTCGATTCCGGTCAAGGGCATGTACCTTAGTTGCGGGCACATCCCCAGTAGGAGGTGTGCAGGAGGCAGCTGATCGATGTTTCTCGTTGATGTTTCTAACTCCCTATCTCTCTCCCTTCCCCTCTGTAAAAAAATCAATAAAATATATTTTTTAAAAATTAATTTAAAAATTATTTCCTCAGATGCACTAGCTGCATTTCATTTGGTTGGTAGCCACATGTTACTAGATTGGACAGTGCAAATATAGAATAGTTCTATCACAGCAGAAAGTTCGGTTGTACAGCACTATTCAAAAATAAATACTTTTGCTTAATGCTTTTATCGCATCTCATTTTTCAGTCATTCAAATAATCCATAAGTAAATTATTGTTATAAAAATGCAAATATACAGTGAAAACCCAAATTAATATAGATTACCACTTGTCACAGTACTTTACCCCAGGTAAGCACTATCATCTATTTACTCTGTATCTCTCTGGACCCTTGTGATACTTTTACATATTTGTAGCTCTATATCTGCTTTGCAGTTGTTACTGATGATACTTCTATGATAATGCTTTTAAGTAGCTTAGTTCTTGGTTTCTTGAAAATTTTTGAATGTAAGTATCCTACACTCACTAGCGTTTTTCTCATCCATAGGTGATGCTGGAAGCAGAACCCCAAAAGACCAGAAGGTAAGTTAGAATGGGTAGGGGAAGGGTAAAAGATAATAACAGGAAAATGGGAGAAACTTTTAGCCTGACTATTCTGTTAGTTCAGCCATCGACATAGAATCAGTCACCCTGTAATCAGCCCCAGTTGTTGCAGCGGTGGCCGAGTATAGACGTTATAAGAAAGCAAAAGAGATTATTTAGAGAGCATGCACTGATTGCGATATGAATGTAGAACTTGGCAGCGCTCAGCTATGTGAGATTAATCAAGGAAAGCTTCCTAAAGCTGATTTCTGAACCAGATTGTAAGAAAGCAGTTTTGCCTGATAAAGTAACCATAAGTTTCCAAATACAGCTAATTCTATTTTTGTTTTGTTTTTTAAAGACAAGTTACTTCTTATTTTAAAATTATTCTAACCGATGCTGCTGTTTCAAAACTTATTTCCCTCATCCCCTTCCTTACAGCTCCGTGAAGCGATGGCTGCCTTAAGAAAGTCGGCTCAAGATGTCCAGAAGTTCATGGATGCTGTCAACAAGAAGAGCAGTTCCCAGGATCCACATAAAGGTTAGGGTCAGGAGGTACTGCAGTATCAGGGGGGTGAATTCCTATAGAGATTTCATGGATAACTGGCTTTGTTTTAGCTTCTCAGAATCCTTCTCCACCTCTTTTGGGTTCTTTTAACACGTCAGGCTATACAAGTCAATATCATATTATTTGTGATTTTGTTTTTCCTTGCTGTCTGCTTAAGTGTTTTGCCTGCCGTTTTGCCAGTGTGTGATGGCTTTATCTGAATAATTTTTTAACTCATCCTCATGGGTACTTCTTCCAGATAGAGATCAGAGAGAAGCAGTCTGAGAGAAGCTTTGCTTGTAGAATGGGTTTGTTACAGGAAAATGTTTTATAAATGCTTCTTCTCATTTAATGAGTGGTGGTTAATGTTATTAATGAGTTGTAAACAGTTGGTTAAAGTGACATGTTCTTGAATTACATGTGACTTTCAGTTAGAGTTTTTCCTGTTAGCATTACAGTTGTCACCTATGTTTTATGTTTCCACCCTTGACCAAGAGAGCAGCAAAAACGGCTAAGGATCAAAGACTATCCCATTTTCCCTGATTACCCTACTACCCCCTTTACTTTTTCATTCTCTCTCCAGTCTATGCCATATTTCTTTAGAACAGTAGTTCTCAACCTTCCTAATGCTGTGACCCTTTAATACAGTTTCTCATGTTGTAGTGACCCCCAACCATAAAATTATTTTCGTTGCTACTTCATAACTGTAATTTTGCTATTGTTATGAATCATAATGTAAATATCTGATATGCAGGATGTATTTTCATTGTTACAAATTGAACATAAAGCATAGTGATTAATCACAAAAACAATATGTAATTATATATGTGTTTTCCGATGGTCTTAGGCGACCCCTGTGAAAGGGTCGTTCGACCCCCAAAGGGGTCGCGACCCACAGGTTGAGAACCGCTGCTTTAGAACAACTTTGTTTTCTTCCATAGGAGCCTTGAGTCAAATGTCTGGAGAACTGAGCAAAGATGGTGACCTGATAGTCAGCATGCGCATTCTGGGCAAGAAGAGAACTAAGACATGGCACAAAGGCACCCTTATTGCCATCCAGACAGTTGGTATGTTCAAGCTAGAGGAAGAACTAAGGAACAACCTGCAGGTTTCCATTGCTGATTGTTTCTCTTCCCCTCAGCCTTGCCTTTTGTCTCGCACAGCAGCCAGGATTTACACAGAAACTGGTGGGTTTTTTTAACTTTTGTTTATCTTTCCCTTTTACTCAGGGCCAGGAAAGAAGTACAAGGTGAAATTCGACAACAAAGGAAAGAGTCTACTGTCGGGGAACCATATTGCCTATGATTACCATCCTCCTGCTGACAAACTGTATGTGGGCAGTCGAGTGGTGGCCAAATACAAAGATGGGAATCAGGTCTGGCTCTATGCTGGCATTGTAGCCGAGACACCAAACGTCAAAAACAAGCTCAGGTACCTAGACTGGGGATTGTAAAGGGAGCAGAGGCCGGGAGCACAGCACCTGTCCTGTTCAAGTCATAATCCAGATCTCACAATTAGCCTTTGTGCTCTTAGTCCCCAGTGGCCAAAAAGTCCTTCTTTTTCTTTGCCACGGGAGTCATGTGGGTGATTCTTTCTCCTTTTTTTTTCTTTTTGTTTTTTTTCCTTGAGAAAACTTGGAAGAGAGTAATCAGGATTGATTAATGGTTAGTAGGGGAATAGGGAATCATGTAGGAGGAAGAAATAAAGTGGAGATTAAATGGTTTTCCGAATAGGAATCTGATAGTAGAACTAGAATAAATTGCTTTTGGGAAAGTGGAGATATATTGGTTAGATGAAGAAAATTCTTAACTCTTGAGGTGGGAAGAAAGAATAACAGGAAGAAAGTAGTAGACTGGAACATCTTCCCTGAGGTGGGAGCTAGGATAAGATAATGCCTGTAGGTCATGTTAAATATAATTCCCTCATCTTTCCACTATCACTCTTTCCTTACAGATTTCTTATTTTCTTTGATGATGGCTACGCTTCCTATGTCACACAGTCAGAATTGTATCCCATTTGTCGGCCACGTGAGTGTCCCTCCTTTCTTCCTTAGTTCTATTCATCTTCCTCTACCTTGTATTTCTTTTAAGGACAACCAGTTGATAAGTCCTAGTGTTTTTGTTGCTTCTGTCTCAAAGAACATAAGTTTGATTAAAGTCCTTTGGGAGATAAAGTTTATTTTTTGTGTTTTTTTAAAATATATTTTTATTGATTTCAGAGAGGAAGGGAGAGGGAGAGAGAGATAGAAACATCTGCGATGGAGAGAATCATGGATCGGCTGCCTCCTGCAAGTCCCCCGCTGGGGATCGTGCCCACAACCCGGGCATGTGCCCTTGACCGGAATCAAACCTGGGATCTTTCAGTTCCCAGGCCGACGCTCTATCCACTGAGCCAAACCGGCTAGGGCAGGAGATAAAGTTTTATGTGTTCATCTCCAGTGATGGGTCTTTGTAACCAAAGAGGGAGACACTGGAAGATCACGACTGACTTGGATGGACAATCATATTGTAGATGTGTTTTGATTTCATTTCTAGATAATTTAGGTTTGAGAAGATGTTAGTCTCACTTCTTCCCTAGTCTCATACTTCAGCTGCTGTGTGCAAATCTGTAGGCTGCTCAGTGCTTCCTATAGAAGTTGTGTTAGATGGGGGCTTCATGGTGTCCTCTGTACTTGTGACTCGGGTTTGGGTACAAACTCTCACAGAAGAGTCAACTAACACTGCTGTGTTTCCACATAACAAGGCAGTAAATGCGTTCAGGACCCCTTAGAAGCCCCATAGAGAATAAGAAGGAAGGATACATTTTTTTAAATCAATTTCATAATGCCAACCGGTCGTTTTTAGTTTACTTCTAGACATACCAAGTTAGCAAGAATTTTCACTTGAATTTTCGTAAGCAGAAACATCCACTTTATAAAAAAATGAATGACTCACCTGTATTTATATATTGCTTATTTAGTATTCACTTGATTTATATGAGCATTTACCCATTAGGTTCAATACTTCTAAGTGGTCTTAGCTTTGCTTCCCTTGAGGTTATGATTTCATTTATTTTTCTATCCTCCCAACTTAAAAAATACCAAACATCTCCTTGCCAATCATTTTTTCTTACCAAGACATGCCCTACATGCCCTCTCTCAGTCCCACTTCTTCCTTGGGACAGTGAAAAAGACGTGGGAGGACATAGAAGACATCTCTTGCCGAGACTTCATTGAGGAGTACATCACGGCTTACCCCAACCGGCCCATGGTGCTGCTCAAGAGTGGCCAGCTTATCAAGACCGAGTGGGAAGGCACGTGGTGGAAGTCCCGCGTCGAAGAGGTGGACGGCAGCCTAGTCCGAATCCTCTTCCTGGTACTGTTCTTCCCTAGTTTTTGAGGCAGGAGTCGGGGTGGGTTGGGGAAGCATAAAAGGCAATAATGAGGACGATTTTGTAAAACTTCATGGTTTTCCTTTCTTATCCTATCTGTCTGTTCTCACTATTTTGATCAAAATTTACTTTGTCCTTCTTTTTGTTCCTCTGTGAATGGTTGAAAATAAATTCCCTGAATTTAATTATGACACTAATCTATATGGTTTGTTTTTGGTTTTGTTTTTTGTTTTGTTTTGTTTTTTGTTTTTATTTGTTTCTTCTCTAGGAACAGTCACAATGCATGTAGGTACAGAGCAAGCAGCCAGTTTCATTTGTCCATGGTTAGGGTTTGGTAGCATGATGGGACAGAGAAGAAAGGATCAAGGAATTGGAATTGGAAGTCTTGTTGACCTTTCAAGGTCCATGATCTTTCAAGGCCCAACTTAACTCTTAGGTCTTCTATACCCATTCTTTTCTCCCCTCTCATGCCTTCCTTAGAATTATATTTCTCCTCTGAGCTATCCCAGCATTTTGTTCCTCAGGCCTTATGATCCTGATAGGGATTCTCATACTTAGTAAAAACATCTGTTGCTCCTGAAATGTCTTATAAACAAGGAACATGTTTTTCTTCCTTATGTTTCTAATGCCTTATCATGGAGCCCAGCACCTAAGTTTATTGAACAGATAAGGAATTTGGGGCTCATCAGGGAGATTTCCCCAAGGAGGCACATGATATATATTCTCCACAAATGGCAGGGTAGATCTAGCCTTTAACCCATTCTCTCCCTCCCTGCCTCCCGATCCCTCAGGATGACAAAAGATGCGAATGGATCTATCGAGGCTCTACACGGCTGGAGCCCATGTTCAGCATGAAGACATCCTCTGCCTCTACATTGGAAAAGAAGCAAGGGGGACAGTTCAGGACACGTCCAAATATGGGTATATCCAGAAAGATACCCTGGGAGAGGGTGGAATGGGGCACACCAGCAAAGGTGATTATAGACCGTGGCTATCCTTTGTTTACCAGGATGACACTACTGACTCATTGGAAACAGGACGTGTGCCCTGAGTTATTTGCAGTAGTGGTGATGGATTTGTGGTGTCGCCTCCACGTGCTGTGGCTCTGATTCGTTCTAAACAACCACATAAAAGTCTGAAACAACTGGCTTAGGTTAGGGGTATTAGTGACCTCTTACATGAGGATAACTGCTTTTTGTTATCTAGGGTCAACTTTCTTAAAACCTAAAATATTTTTGCTTTTATATGTTCCTGGCATGCTTTGGTTGATTTTTCCTGACTACATTAGTTGACCAATGAATGCATTTTTGGAAGTTTTCACCAAAATATAACAGTTACTAACATAAATTGTCTTAGGCAGGTTATTAAGTCAAAGCCAGCTTATGCCAGTATTCCCACTCATTGGTATAAATATTGGGAACTGACAGTCTTAGCGCTTACTCAGAATGTTTCCATTTATGCTTTTTTATATTAATATAAATTGAGGGTCAGGTGTGTTCACAAGTACAAGTGACAGCTGTCATCTTCTCAATAGTAACTTTCATTTTTCCTGTAGGTGCTGTGAGGAGCAAAGGCCCTGTGGTCCAGTACACCCAGGATCTAACCAGCACTGGAACCCAGTTTAAGCCAACGGAGCTGCCTCAGCCTACAGCCCCACCTGCCCCATCTGCTACTACACCCGTCCCACCTGCTACCCCCATCCCACCTGCTACCCCCGTCCCACCTGCTACACTCACTCCGCCTGCCCCACCTGCTCCACCTCTGTCCCCCCCGGCAGGTGACACTGAGTGAGTGCTATTCCTTTTTTTTTTTTTTTTTTTGCTAGTTTCTTTCATATTTCATATTTTCTGTATCTTTTATCATATCATCTCTTCTCTAATCTCCTAGAAGCTTGGAAAGCCAGCTTGCCCAGTCACGGAAGCAGGTAGCCAAAAAGAGCACCTCTTTCCGGCTAGGATCTGTGGGCTCTGGTCATTCCTCCCCTACGTCTCCTTCACTCAGTGAGAATGCCCCTGGTGGGAAACCTGGAATCGGCCAGACATACAGGTGAGAAAATCTCAGGCCCTTGGTGGGGGCAAGGAGGTGCAGTGTGGACTGAGTAGTCACAGGGAGGGAGGTTCCTTGGCTCCAAGGGGTTATGATGGTGAGGAGTTTGGACTTGAAAAGAAAGTTTTTAACCTTGGAAATTTCCAGGAAACAAAATATAAAAATAACTGAATTAGACACGGGGTGCCTAGAAATACAGAATCACCAGAAAGTCATTTGTTAAAACTTCTCATTAAATGTGATGGCATCATTGGTTCATAAAAAGGGCACGGTACAGCCACTTTCCTTGCATTGTGAGAGTTAATAAGGACATTTATAGGACACATGGCAGGAAAAAAAGCATTGGTAGAAGACTGACCTCTACTTCCATAATTCACAGGCAAAAAAAACTTTTAAGAAAGGGTATATACACTGTTGAAATAGAGATATTCTCAGTCAGTAAAGAGTAACCAGGATGTTTCATTGTCCAGGTTTTTTGGGAAGGCAAGGGAAAAATCTGACTTTCTTGTGCCATCTTTAGCTTCAGGGATAATTACTCAACAGAGAGATCCTGTTGCATTCTTACCTGATCTGTTGCATCTCATTTGCAGATCACCTTTAGGCTCAACATCTTCTGCGCCAGCACCCTCAGCACCACCAGCATCCCCAGCATCCACGGTCCTTCCAGCCCTCCCAGCACCAGCAGTCCTTCCAGCCCTCCCAGCACCAGCAGTCCTTCCAGTCCTCCCAGCATCAGCAGTCCTCCCAGCATCCACAGTCCTTCCAGTCCTCCCAGTAACCACAGTCCTCCCAGTCTCCACAGTCCTCCCAGCACCCACCGCCCTCCCAGCCTTCCACGGCATGCTGGAGCGTGCCCCGGCCGAGCCCTCCTACCGCGCCCCCATGGAGAAGCTTTTCTATTTGCCTCATGTCTGCAGCTATACTTGTCTGTCTCGAGTCAGACCTATAAGAAGTGAGCAGTACCGAGGCAAGAACCCTCTGCTAGTCCCACTGCTCTATGACTTCCGGAGGATGACAGCCCGGCGCCGAGTTAACCGCAAGATGGGCTTTCATGTTATCTATAAGACACCCTGTGGCCTCTGCCTTCGGACAATGCAGGAGATCGAACGCTACCTTTTTGAGACTGGCTGTAACTTCCTCTTCCTGGAGATGTTCTGTTTGGATCCATATGTTCTTGTGGACCGGAAGTTTCAGCCCTATAAGCCTTTTTACTATATTTTGGACATCACCTATGGGAAAGAAGATGTTCCCCTATCCTGTGTCAATGAGATTGACACAACTCCTCCACCGCAGGTGGCCTACAGCAAGGAACGAATCCCGGGCAAGGGTGTTTTCATTAACACAGGCCCTGAATTTCTGGTCGGCTGTGAATGCACGGATGGGTGCCGGGACAAGTGAGTTGGTGGGGTATTGCTGACCCTGCTATGGTTGCCTTTCTTTCCACCTCTTCCTCTGCCTTATATCTGCACTCCTTTCCCCATCTCCCTTTACCTTCTCCCTCAGCTGGAGCTCCTGCCTCAAGGTCTCCATGAAGTTATGTAATAGAGATGCTGGGGTTGACTTGGCCCCACTGCATGACCCTGGGTACATGTGTCTTGTGTTTGTTTCTTTCTCTGATTCTCCTTTTCCTTCACTTTTCTCCAGTTGCCACTTCGTTTCATTCTCTTTTTATCTTATTCTCACAGTCATCTTCTTACTCGGTCTTTTCTTTTCTCATTTACATATATGAAGGAAGAAAATGAAATTTCACTATTCTATCACCAGCCATTTATTAGTACTTCTTGGTTTTAAAGGAAGTCTCACAGCTCTACCTATCTTACCCTTCTATCTTATGTAGGTCCAAGTGTGCCTGCCATCAGCTAACTATCCAGGCTACAGCCTGCACCCCAGGCGGCCAAATCAACCCTAACTCTGGCTACCAGAACAAGAGACTAGAAGAGTGTTTGCCCACAGGGTAAGTATCAGGGGAAAGTGAGGAGCATGCTCTTGATTTTCTATTCTTGTAGAAACCATCAGAATTCTAAAAATTGAAACCAAAAATGGAATAACTGAAACAGGCATTTATTTTATCAATTGAATCTCATTTACTGAAATCCCAGCACATATTACTTCCTTGGACTTCCCTTGAAATGAAAACATAGAATGATTGAACAGTGTCTAGAAATTTTCTGTTGCAATCAAAGGTGATCTTAATTTTATAGCTGTATGAATGTCCTAGCAGATTACGGCTTGCTCTGGCAAATGAATTGTATTCAGAGAGGAAAAGAAGGCAGAGACTTGATTACTTAGGACTTTGTAAATCAATAAAAATGATGGTCAAATTCATGGTGCAATAGGAAGCTGCTGGAGATTTTTAAGGAGTCAAATGATCTGACCTGCCTTTCGAAGATTACTCTGGCTTCTGTCTAGAAAATAGGTTTTAGGGCAGCAAAAGAAAAATTTGGAAGCCCAGTTAGAAAATGTAAGAGAGAGGTGGTGGTTGCTGGTACTAACAAGAGTAGTAGAGGTGAAAGAGGATAGATTTGGGGAACATTTGGAGGTAGAGCTACAGAACTTGGTAGATTGACTATGGAGTGGGGTAGGGAAGGGACAGAATCAAGGACAGTTCCTAAATTTTCTACTTTAGCAACTAAATTGGGGCTTTTTTACTGAGATGGAAGACCAGAGGAGTTATAGGTCTAGTGAAATTCAGCTTCTTTCCCAGCTGTATGAAGCTTGGGATGCCTGTTAGTCCAAGTGGAAATGTTGAAAAGGCAGCGAGATTTCTGAGAGAAGTGTAAGGACTGCACAGGAGTGGTATTTAAAGCCTGGATGAGTTCACCGAGAGA